TTTACCGGTAATTACCGGCTAACGGGAACTCTGACACAGGGGTTTGATGTTAACAAAGTGTGTGTGTGTGTGTGTGTGTGTGTGTGTGTGTGTGTGTGTGTGGGAGAGACACACACCTGACGATCTCCTCGGGGAAGCAGCTGTTGATGTTGTTGATGTGATCCTGCAGAGGGGAGCCGGGCTCCGCCTCGATCTCCTGGAGCTTCTTCAGACCTCCGCTGGTCACAAACAGCCGGCGAGCCTTGCTGTCATGAGGGAGCACCTGAGAGGAGAGGAAACGCAGGTATCACATCCAAACCAACAACTCTAAAGGCCCGGACACACCAATCTGACAACAAAGAACTGACACAGACGGACCCCGACTGCTGCGTCGCTGCGTTTTGGCCATGTGTTGCACTGGAACACACCGCAAAGACTTCTGCCGACGGCCAAGTAGCACGTACGAACTGCGCATGCGTGAGTGGCAATAACTCTCCTTACCAGCAGGCGGCGGTTGTGTGTATTCGTCAGTCAAAAGAGGCAACAACCGGAAGCCAGACTGCGTGATAACCGAGAGAAGAAGAACAGACTGTGTGATTTAAACAAACAACAAATAGCGTGTTCCATTTTCACTCTACAGCGAGAAACTCACGGGGCTTTCCCGAACCTGTGTCGAGAGCTGGAGTTCAATGAAATCTCAGATTTGCCTTCTTAATAGTTTGTTTGGGTCCCTCACTTCCGTTTCGCCTCTCATGCACTCGCTCGCTGAACAGCCAATCAGAGTGATTTCTTTTGCCGACTGCCTTTGGCCGACTGCCCGCCAATTCAACGTGTTGAATCGGCCGAAAAGGCGTCGGCACGGCTGAAAAGGCCCGACGGTGCGGGACCCACCAATCTGAGTAGGGCGTGTCGACGCTCATCGTCGGCCTGACGCCCACCGACGCCGATAATCGGCCCGGTGTGTCCGTGCCTTTAGAAACCTGACATTCATTTAGATTCTGGGCCATTTTGAATCGGCCCTCAGCTAATTCAAAAAGTTATAATGCAGCACGGCCCTCAAATGAAACTTGTGCTTGTCTTGTACTTCTTACATATAGATACAAACAGATATTACTCATTAGTATTCATTTGTTAATGAGCCCACTTCTCAAATAAATTCAGTCAATTAAAGTTGAAAACATGTTCTAACAAATCTAAGCTGATAAGAAGAAAAGCCCAATAACTTAAGCTTCAAATGTACCCTTCATATTTCCTCTTATGATAATCAATCTGAGCTTCTGTTGTAAGGAATGAGCTGCCCTCTGGAGAGCTGTGATTTAGGATGATTTGATTTTGCTGACCTATAGCTGAACTTATGAGGCAGTATACCTCTAGTGAGTGGCCCCGCCCTTCGTATATTTTTCTGTATTTGGCCACCCCTGATTTAGATTTCCCTTTTTGAAGCAGATTCCTGTTGTGTTTAGGGATGGGTATCGTTAAGGTTTTAACGGTACTACTACTACTACTTTTATCGATACCGCTTATCGATCCGGTCTTTTATCGGTTCTTTTGGAGAAAAAAATATGGTAAACTGACTAAACAAATTGTGAACAAAATGAACATTGCTTTTTATTTAAATGAAATGCATAATATTTCACATAAAAAGAAACAACAATGTTTTAACAAATCGTATTAAAAAGAATCTGCCCTTACATGCTAAACTCTTATTGCACTTTTGGTAACGACTAACGAGCATTGTCCACATCGAGACGGGTAAAGTTTAACCACATCTTGGACCGCCATCTCCTCCGTGTATGTGTGTTGCTGCATGTAGCAGAGCGTGTGTGTGTAAACTGCCCCGCTCCCTCGCGCACAGACGGGGAGAGAGATCTCTCGTCTGGATTGGAAAGATCGAAAATACTAAACAGACGCATTTTGCAGTCTTTTTGCGTATTAGAAACGGAGTTTGCGAAACTAAAACTGCAATATAATGTTTGTGTAGCAATAATACATATGACATATTTTACATCTACATTTACTATCGTCTCCAGTACCGATAAAAAGACCGATAACGTCGGAGCTTAACGGTACCACGGTCTTTAATAATTCAGCCCCGGGGCTCGGTACCCATCCCTAGTTGTGTTGGACTCTCACCTTGCTGAACTGGCAGACCACGTGTTTGAGGATGTTGCTGGGAACATCGTAGAGGAGCGGCTCCAGACCCGGCAGGTAGGTGCACTTCTGCAGAATGCTCTTCAGGGCCTTCTTACTCTGAAACACGAGGAATTACATTCTACTGTATACATTCAAACTGTTGTTTCAGCTTTTTACCAAGTGATACCTGCAGACCAGTGAGATCAAAATATCTCCATGTTTGGCTTTAAAAATGTGCAGTCGTTGCCTCACTGTTATTGAGAGCGTGTCAATATACTTAATACATAAGTGATAGTTGTTGTACGGTGGCCCTAAGAGCTCATTGCACCCAACATCTTGTGTTGCTTACTTCGTCTCTAGTTACATTTCATCAGCATCATTTGCTGTTGTGTGTTTCAGCTGCTTTGTTTTTATATTGCAAACAAATACGTTCTGAAATGCATTACTTATTGTCAGCTGCAACCATTTCGGCTTTGTGCATATTGCGGTGTTTGGTAGTCTTCGACATGTTTATACAAACAAGTCATTTTATTTTATTCTAAAATGAAGCAACTGCACAAAAATTAATTTCCCCTCGGAAAAAAACATTATTTTAGATTCTTACTCTCTATTGCAGAGTTGTGAAATTTGTGTAGATGTTTTTTCCTTTTATTGCTTAATTTGCAGCTCTTTGAGCTCTCGGGACCAAAGCAGATAAAACTAAAAGCCCATATATGTATGTTTTTGAGATATTCAACAGTTCACTCTGATTTCAGGTGTGACCCCTGCTGAGAGCCTCGTCATTGAAGCGTCCCTCTGCTGCTCTTACTTTGGCCTGCAGGTCCTCGGAGCTGCTGGCCTCCATGTACAGCTCCAGCAGTTTGCTCAGGAGGTTGGAGGTGGCCACCGCCTTGGCGTGCTCAGGGCTGTGGTGTCCAATCTGTCCGATGGACCAGGCTATGGCCGCCTTGATGTGGTGCTCGGGCTCCTCGGACATACACAGGGCCAGCTGTGGCACCCCCTGCAGGACAGGAGGACAAACAGGACTCGGTGAGTGTGACCCACATACTGGACCTGCTGGTTGTACTGCTGCTGTCACATGGCTCATGGAGAGGGATCACACGAGATTAACACCTTGGAGAGGATGACAGCCATGGCCAGGTTCTCGCTGTGAGCCGCCACATATCCCAGCATCATGATCCCCGGCAGCCGCAGGTTTCCACTGGACTCGCCCAGGAAGTCGATCACAGCTGCCATGCCTCCACAGTTCACGATCACCTGGGACAGCTGCAAACACACTTCGCACATTACTCTGGCTCCTGCATGTTTGTGCCTTCAGTGAACGAGTGTGTGCTGCAGTACCTCTGGTGTGTGTTTCACCACCTCCCTCATCAGAGTGGTGACGTTCTTTCTCACGTACTCATCAGGGTCTTTGAGGCAGGCGACGGCTGCAGGGAACACCTCCGCCTCAATCACCATCTCCGCCAGGCTGACCGAGTGCTTAGTGATCTGACTGAGGGCGGAGAACACCTGCCTCTACAGGGACAAGAAATAGGGCTGCATTCATTCTAGAGCTCGTTTATAGTTTATACCGTTTTGCACAACAAGTCAGCATATATGTGGAAATGAGTCTGCTCTCTATTCAATATCTGGTACTTCTGCTTAATATAATATATATAAATGGTGTGTACATTTTTGATCATTTTTCCAAGACAAAAGGCAGAACTTAGTATGATCGTGTTGCTTGCAAGATCTGTAACATGCACTAACATGTTTGGGATTCTTTTCTAGCAGGTTTTTCGATGTGATACTACAATTGTTTTTGTATTTCAAGTAAAAAAAACGGGAGAATATATTTTATTTAAATGAAGTCTGGTGGAGAAATGTTTCTTATTCGTGATAGTCTTTCAATAAAGCCTTTTGAATCTCTTCATTTCATTCACAAAGTATCTCATGACAGTCTGGCAGGGCAAGATGTTTGTTAAATGGGTAACTGAAGATAAAACACTAACATATAGAGCCTCATATAATAGGTAAAACGTGTTCTTTGAGCTGGCCTACCTTGAGCTTGGCGTCAGGGCTGAGGATCATCTGGGCCAGGTGTGCGATGGCTCCGTTGTCAACCACGGTCTGGGCCAGCTCCGGGGAGTGTTTGGAGATGTCACTGAGGGTGGAGGCCGCGATGCGTTTGAGGGCCATCTCCGGCTCCAGAAGACAAAGCACCAGGAGGGGCACGGCGCCGGCATCCACCACCGACTGAGACAACTCTGCACCAAGAGGGAAGGGGTGGGAAGCAGAGAACAAACACTCAAAGGTCACCTATTACTTTTTCATGTCTCTTCTACATCAACATGTTTCATTTCAGGAAAAAAGATTCGCTCACTTTTTGTCCTGATCCATTTATATAAAAACCTGTCTGAAAATGAGCTGATCAGATTTTGGCCCCTTTGTGATGTCATAACGACTTGGCTTGTAAAACCATTAGCCAATCACGAACCAAGGTAGACCAATAGAAATCTAAGAATGTGTTTTTACGTGCGTCGTGCCGGGCGATGTAGTTGAGAGCCCAGGCAGCCGCTTCCTTCACGCCGGGGTCGAACTCCTCCAGGCAGAGCACCAGAGCGTCGACCCCCCCGCAGGCCAGCACCGCCTGGGCCAGCTCGGGGGTGTGTTTGGCAACGGCTCGCAGAACGAAGGCTGCTGCTTTCTTATAGAACCTCTGCGTACAAACATACAAAGATACTCTTACATTCATGGTCTCTCTTAAGACGTTACTTACGATTGAAATACAAGTCAGTTATATTGTCCCATGATTTGGTACATTTATAACATTGTCCTTTGCAATTTAATGCCAATATTGTATGACATACTATACTTACAATTCATTATAACAATTTATAAAATAAACCATTCCATGGATTTGTTTTCTTCAACATTATGACTTTTTGTGTTTTTTTCTGATATTTTTTAATATACAAAAACTTTTTTTCAACATACTGTGTTTATATAATGATTTTTGCATATTTTCCAGATACTGAGTGATGTTGTTTATTGGCTACTGACATAATTTATATTGTCGTTTTTTATGCACACCATTATATCTTGTTTTCTGGATACTAAACTGTCAGTTTTTGCATTTCTTCGACATACCATGCTGTTTTTTTTTTACTTCGACATAGTATACTATTTTTGTCCCACTTTTTTCGACCTACGATAGATATCGTGTCTTATTTTGACATATGCTATTGTAGCGACCCTGATAGGAGGCTGAGGGTGTCACTCAGGCATCCCCCGTCTCCAGGGTTGGCTCCAGAACAAATCGAATGGGGGGGCAATCATTTACCACGGGGGGGCACACACATGCTGTAAAGTCTCTTGTCTCTCACACACACAGCACTGCACGCTTCATTAAGCCAAGTCTCTCTCTCTCTCTCTCTCTCACACACACACACACACACACACACACACACACACACACACACACACACACACACACACACACACACACACACACACACACACACCTGAAAGTGTGTTATGTAGCACCCTCTGTTGTTGTTACCTATTTCCGCCAGCGGGTCATATTGACCCCACCCCTTTTCACATAAACATGACGTGTTGCTATAGCAACGCCTTTTGTCTACTGCGGTTCCGACTACTGATTGTAGTGAATGAGTGCACTCCCGCTCACCGGAGACTGCTCGCGCTGCGCTCCGCAGCAAACAGCTGTGGGGCGATTTGAAAGTACGTTATGCTGGCCGGGGTGTCTAAATAATGCTTCCGGGCCAGCGG